ATGCAGACGGGAACTAAACTAAAAATTATACACAAATTTGAGCCACACAGACTTTTCTGAAAAGTTCAAGCTTAACATCCAAAAAAGTGCTTAACTATTTTTTTCAGCATTTTAGTAAAACAGTTAATTTGAAAATGAATAGATAAGAATGATAACTAAACATTTAAATATGACTTTGATTAAAGTCCTTGAGCAGACTGTTAGATTCATGATTACAGAAACATACACAGTGATGTCTGCAATGAACGCACTGTATTGTGCTTGTCGATGTACTCGTCAACTCAGAAACAGTTTGATGCACAACTGAAAGTTTTTGTGGTTATCAGTATTCTTTTGTTGCACCAATGAGTTAGTTGTAGATGCAAAAACATGGTAAATATAATCCAGCAGGGCATGCCTAATGGAGAAATAGCTCTTTGCTGCCCTGTTGTGGACAAGTGTGGAGGTACAACTGTATAACTCATTTCTCCACTGAGCACCAGTGAAGTTAAGGGTGTAAGAATACTCATGAGACTGTGTATGGTAGACTCTTTGTGATCACATTATTCTAAAGAGCTAAACATTAATTTATTCCCACTTCCTTTCTTCGTCTTCCCTTTTTCACTTCTCCGCTTCTATCCTAACTTCTCTTTATTGTCTCCTCTTTTCTATTCTTCTTTCCTTGTCTCCTCCCTTTCCTTGCCTCTTTCTTCTCATTTCTCCCATCAGCTCAGATGCAAGGCATCAGCGTTGCGTTCGCTGTGCAGTCGACACACTGAGAAGCTGTGCACGTTCAGAGCCGTTTACCCGGACATCGTTCGATCGCACTTCCCTCCTCTTTATAAGGAGCTGTTCGGTGCTGACCTCGAACTGACCCTGCAGAGCAGCGACTGAACTGTCACTGGCACCAAAGCCGGTGTATCCAGACAGATTGTGCCCAGTTTCCATAGACACTGCGGACGGGGCGGCGTCCCACACAGCCGAAGATGGCGACTGTGCAGCTGCTGTACTTCATCTCCTGGACACCTGACACAGACACAAAGAAACCCGAGTTCATCTTCTCCTCAGTTTGTTTTTCCTCCTCCTCGTCCTCCTCTCGTGTCTGTGAGTTTGCTCTGAGGAGTCAGGTGGTCTCATTAGCCCACGTCATGTATCCAGGCTTCTGAACCTGGATCAGACTCACCTCTAACAGTACTTGCACTGAAACTTGGTTTTTGTTTCGTTTACCTGATTGTTAAAGCTTTGAGTTTCCTGCGTTTGTTGGAGAGAATGATATTGGATCCATTGACTTGTCCACAGACAGTTTTACTTGATGATCAAAAGATTAAAAGGTAGCAAAAATAATTTCCTAATTTTAATTTGCAAAGTAAAATTGTTCTTATCCTTTGTGAGAGTGAGTGCATAAGAAAAGCACCACATTCACACAGCTGCTTCTACAACTTTGGATACTTTGTGGAAATGTTATGTTACATTGATCATAGTCTCAGCTGATATTAGCAAAATGATCAAATAATCCCAACGTCCTCTTGAGTTCTATCCAGTGACATCAGTTGCACCATTTTCAGTACTATTTATAACTGAAAATACTGTATGAGTCATTGCTCAGATACGTAGCACAGCACCACAGCCGTGATCTCCAGCGTGGAAACAGGAAGCCAGTTCCAAAGTGACAAAAACTGCAGTTCCTTTAATCACCACTTGAGGCTAGCTCTGAAAGTGAGTCGGTGCATAGAGATTCCTATGTTGGAATGCCAAACTTACAAAACAATACAAACATTTATTTTGGAATCTGTAGTTTTTTAACTCATCCATTTAGCTTAAAGTCATTCAATTCCATTTTATTTATACAGCGCCAAACAAGTCACCTCAAGGCGCTTTATATTGTACAGTAGACCCTACTATAATAGATACAGAGAAAAAAACGAACAATCAAATGACCCCCTATGAGCAAGCACTTTGGCGACAGTGGGAAGGAAAAACTCCCTTTTAACAGGAAGAAACCTCCAGCACAAACAGGCTCAGGGAGGGGCGGGGCCATCTGCTG